TATTTGAGATTGTGAATTCTTAAAATGAGTAGGATATGTCTATTATTAATGGTGGTCAAAATTTGTTTGTAAAATGCACAGCACATTAAAAGATTTCGCCATAGTTTCACCAAAAGTTGGTTTGGATAGTTGCCACAGTTGTTCTGGTTGGGTTTGTAGTTATAGATTTCCCTTAAAGATATACGTAGTGTTCCTTCATTACTGTGGCATCATTAGCTGCCCGTTTTAGAATTCATGAGAGGCTTTCGTGGAAGACAGTCGTAAAAAGTACTGAAAATGCATTTCAAATACTTTTCCACAGAATGCGGTTTACTATTTTATTACTTGTATAGAACGACGTGAGCGTCAGCTGAATTTATAGATGGTAGTCTGAAGTATGACGAAAGGTATTCCAGGTAGCTGCTGTGGTAACCGTGAATGCCCGTCAGGAATCCCTTGACAATCGGCAAATGATAAAGTGGTATCTGAGGGATGACCGTCCTTCACATGTCTGTGAGACAGACCTGTCTAAGAACAATAGTTTGCGATTATTAGCCATGACAGGCGGAATAAGGCCATTGGCCGTACTAATATGAGCGAAATAATTCTGGTAAAATCACTGAGAGGATTTAACCACACGCGAGTAAAGTTTCTTTTATTCACTGTTAATTCCCTGGAGCAAGGAATTCATCCCAGTGTGCTTTTCGGTGCAACGGGTGGCAGGTCATTGGCTCGTGAATAATAGAGACTGTATGGTGCTTTGATGTGGTTATGCGAAAGCGCGCGACATACTATAGCCATGCCATCTGATGGGTGCCTCTTCCAGCTTCAGTTCCCTTATTGTACCTTATACCTGCAGTTGGGACGTCAAAATGGATCGAATGCGAAAGTCACCAGCATTGTAACGTGAACTCCATGAAAGAACGGTGAAATCTGCTATGTCCATTACCGATTTGTAGAGTATGCCGATATTTCTTTGCTCACTAATTAGCCTATCCTTTTCTTGCTACCGAAAGGTAGAAATCGCCTACCGAAACTTTTCACGCAGTTGGGTTTTATTTTTTCTCAAGGAGGTACCTACATTCCCAAAATTTCTTCTCCTTTCTCCTGTTTGATTTGCAGGCTTTGTTGTTGTACTGGTTAGCTGTGTTATGTACTGTTTTTTTGTCGTTGTTGAAATACTAGTTTTACTAGCTATTTCCGCTAATTCAGTTTTTGTAAACTCGATTAACTGATTTGATTAGCTGCCCCCTCTTTTCATTTTAGCTTGTACATTGTAGTGCTCTTATTGTTATTGTCACGTTGATTAAGGAATACCCTTTTAGAGTTCCAGTAACTTAATTACAAGTAAATATTTCATTTCCAAGGCAGTAAATGATAATTTATGACTAGATTTAAAGTTACTTAACAGTGCATGAAGCGACTGATTTTCAGCTGATTTCAAAATAAGCGATGGAGGCTTTAAATTTTACTTCAAAGTTAGTATTAAGTTTATAATTTCATTCTGATCATTCATATATTGAAATTACGGTCAAAAGTCTGTCATTTTCAGAATATCAATTATGTTCCGGTTGCGCCGCCCGGTGTTACCCTTCTTCCCACGGGTCAGCCGCTCGCACAGCCTGTGATGTTCGTTCCCGTTGGAAATGTTCCGTACAGCGCATGTGGTAGTACTTTATTTATAAATTTGTTTTCATCAAATTTAACGATTGTTTTGCATCAAGAAATGTCAGGTACTGAACACCTGTGGTCATACGTCAGAAGATTTAGGCTGTGTAGTTAATCATTATTTGAGGGCTTTTTTCGTGCGACGATAGGTTTAAAGTAACAAATGAAATGGTTGGTTTACTGCATGATAACCTGCTGCCCAGTTTCCGGCCCCAGACATTTTTTCGGGTGGCGTGGTTAGTATTAGATTGGGATTGTTGTTGTTCGAAGCGTTAGTTGATTAAACGCTGTAATTAAGAAGCTTTCCAGCTACTGCAAACGACAGAACAGCCGAATGTCATCCATTTCGAGATCTGAAAAACGCGTGCCGGGTAGGGATCACTGAACCCTGATGAATTAAAGCGAAAGTTTTGCTCGAGTTTTAACCCTGGTTCTGTTTGTCTCATTTGTCGTAGTTCTTTGGGTGCCTTTCTATACTTTTTCTCTGGTAGTAGGGTTGAAGAAACCTGAGTTGATAAGGTTAAGTAGAGGTGTTGACGCAGTACAGTATTCATTCGTCTACTGCTGACCGTGGACCCCTGGGATTTTGCCATTGCAGATAACAATAACTACAATGACTTGTTCTTGTCCGCTTTTTGGACTGTGCTATAAACTGTTGTGACCTTCATCCTATAATCTTGAACTTGCAGGCAAGCTGCATTTTTATTGCATGTCTATAACACTCAAGTACTAAGTCACTTCTAAGCTTAGCGTAACCTATAAAATGTCACTGCGCGACGCATAGCTAAAGTTCATAACTGAACTGCCTCACAGGTGGCATATTTGCATTTGTATATATATATATATATTGTAAGGCTCATTGTTGACGAGGATTTTACATACTGCGGATCATTATTCCACTGCGACCTGAACGAAGTTGTTTGCTGTATTATCAACGACTCTGAATACTAGGCAAGACGTTTGCTGATGGCAATGCTTTAAGTATGAATATGTATGTGGGTAGGACCGACTGTGAATGGGTAATCATCATAAATTTTTACAAAAATTGATTGGCTAATGATTCCACATTAGTAGTGGGATATTGCACTTTTGGTCTAGTGCTTGTTAACTTCATCATGTGTTGCTATGCTATTCTTGGTTCGTTCCTGCCTTTCATCACATTGATAAAAGTATAATGGCACTGTATTGCCCCACAGTGGCTATATGATGTTAAAGTATATACTATATAATGCTAAGTGTTTAAAGGCAGACAATTGTGTGCGTATGATTTTGATGGAAGGTGATTACCGTAATTAATTTTATAATTATTAGCATAAATGACTACATTTTCTTCTCATCGAACGCATTTTTAGCGGCGCAGCCAACTGTTGTTCCTTGTACTGCGGAAGACGTCAAAGAACTGAAGGAAATGTTTCCGAACATCGAAGAAGACGTGATTCGTAATATTTTCGAGGAAAAGCATGGAAACAAGGAAGCGATCGTCAACGATTTGCTTGCTTTAAGCTCCTAATATACAAACTGTTTGTTTCTATTTATATTTGTGCTTGTGATCTACTTTTATCTTTAATAAAAATTCGAATTTTGATCAAATCCCCCTTAACCTGTGTGCAATCATCATTACAACGTGGAATTGGATGAGTGACTAAATGCGAACCGTCGATCAAATTCATTCGCCTCTGATTTTTTTCTAAATGTTGAGTAAGTAAAGATGAAACGAATAGGCATGAAATCTTTATTTTTTGGGCCGATGTGGAGCCATCGAGATGTCGATGCGTAGCCATTTCCAACACTGATATTACGCACCTGAAACTGCGAAATGAAGTGCTAGACCTCAGTAGTGCTTTGGTAAAATTTCTAAGCAAAGTTTCGTCTGTGAATATTCTTTGCGTCTTTAATTGTCGAATTGAAGGATGTTTGTTTGCTGGCTGCTTTTGCAAATATTTGTGAGGCAATACGTCGTTGAACAGTCGCTGTTTTCATCAGGTCAGAAAAAGGTGTTTCCGGGTAAGAGTTTAAGCTGTCAGTAGTGACATTAAACATGATGGGACTATCTTTTGAGTTCTGAAGTGAAGGTCACTTATCGGTCTAGCTTGTGATATTGGAACGTTCGCGAAGGTTTCAACGCCATGGACTAGTTTTAATATGTCTTGTGTTAATCTGTTCAAATTGACCGTCTGCCTGTTGTTTCTTCTAATCTACTTCTATATGTAATTTAATTGTGTATGGATCTCTTAAGTATGGTAGAGATGTACAGGCAGTAAAATATTCTGTTCCAGTCTTATTATTCAGCTTTATAGTTAGATCATTTTAGTACGCATATTTGCGATACGGATGAAATAATCTATCAGTTGATTCCATTGCAATTTCACTCACCAGCAGTTTTGAACATATGAAAAGGCTAAATGGCATGTAATTTTTTGTGACTATATTCAGTTTTGTAGAACGTACTGATGAACGTAGTTTCATGTTGTCACGCTGACCCATTAAGATGGCACCATACACTAGGATACATATAAGACAATCAAATGGGAACATCTCATTACAGAAGCACAGCTTGGAAGTATCCGCTCCGGAAAT